AGACAGGAGAGGCTGTGAGGACCGAGCGTGGACGCAGCCTGAGCCCAGTTGGTGCTCAGTGCATTGTGGGCAGTGACGTGGTCACTCCTCACCTGGGTCACCTCTCTGCCCCTTTGTCCTTGTCCCTTCAGTAGAACCTTGTCCCACCAGGACCTGTGATCAAAGTGACTAGAACATCACCCAGGTCTGGTCTTGTCAGTGAGGGCTTCGTGTGGCTCAGGCCTGGGCCCTGCCCTCAGCCCCTGTCTTTTGGGTGTTCATTTGTTGTTTCTATAGAGGAATATGACTGCTTTTGTCCTTATTACGAGTCCTGGTCTCATTCTCCTCTGGGTGTCCCCTATCTGTCAGCAGCAGGAGGCATTTTGAAGAGGGTTCCCTGGGTGCTGGAAATGCTCCTTGATGTGGGTGATGTTTGTCCCAACGTTCGCTTTGTGAAAATCCACTGCACACTTATGATTTGTCCATCTCTTTCTATGGGTGTGTGAACCTAGAAATAAAAAGGCTTTCAAACTGAGAAGCTACAAGCATTTGAGATTAAAACAAAAACATAAGTTTTTTGGGAAGCACTGATTCATACAAAGTCCCAAAAATGTCCCAGTTAGGAAACTAAGGCGATGGGTATTGATGAGAAAGGGAAGGGGAACAATTACATCAGTAGAAGGAAGGCATTTCTATTGGTGCAGATAACATAACGTAGTGATACTAACTCTGAATAATTAAAAATTTCAGTTCAGCAGTCAGAATAACTGCTTTCCTGTTATCTTTGCAAACAGATCTTTGGGACACAATGTTGCTTTAAGCTCACAGTAAAGATTACTTGCCCTGTTTTAACATTTCAAACGTTTGAGGCATACAATGTGCAAAGCAGTTCCTCTGGGATGGCAGCTCCTGCTCCATCTTAAAGTGGTTCTGTTTAATATTTTTTGACATTTTTCCCATTTTGATCATCTTTCCTTCAAAGCATCGCTAACAAGTCACTGGAAAGCAGCACCGATCCCGTCATTAAAGCATCTTGTCTTTCGGCTCATTTTGGGGATGTCAGGCCACTGTAGGCTTCTCCTTGCCAGGAAAACTCATTCCTGGTTTGTCATGACCCCGTGGGAGGGAAAGTAGTGTTTTTGTTCTCAGGAACCTTCGGCTACATTGGAGAAACAAGAGCACCAGCACAGAGGAAGCCTTTGCCGCTGTGTTCCTTTAAGGGCAAACATCTGTAGTTTCTTGAGGTTTTTTTATATAAAGTCTCACAGGCCTCAGNCGCAGATCGTCCCCAGACCCCGAGGATGCGCATCATGGGTCCCGGGACCCTCCTCCTGCTGCTCTCGGGGGCCCTGGCCCTGACGGGAACCCGGGCGGGTGAGTGCGGGGTCGGGAGGGAACGGCCTCCGCGGGGGAAAGCGAGGGGACCGCCCGGTGGGGACGCAGGACCCCGGGGAAGATGTGTCCCCACCGCCCCGGCCCCGTGTCCCGCCCCCTCCTGGTCTCGGGGGCCCTGGGCCTGACGGGGACCCGGGCGGGTGAGTGCGGGGTCGGGAGGGAACGGCCTCCGCGGGGGAAAGTGAGGGGACCGCCCGGTGGGGACGCAGGACTCCGGGGAAGATGTGTCCCCACCGCCCTCGGACCAGTGTCCTGCCCACTCCTGTCGCCCCCTCTCGGCCCGTCGCCCTCGGACCCAGGACCTGCGCCGGGAGGAGGGTCGCCCGGGTCTCAGCCCCTCCCTGTCCCCAGGCTCCCACTCCCTGAGGTATTTCGCCACCTCCTGGTCCCGGCCCGGCCGCGGGAAGCCCCGGTTCATCGAAGTCGGCTACGTGGACGGCACGCAGTTCGTGCGGTTCGACAGCGACGCGGCGACCCCGAGGATGGAGCCGCGGGCGGCGTGGATGGAGGGGCCGTGGGTGGAGCAGGAGTACCCGGGGTACTGGGACCAGGAGACGCAGCGCTGCAAGGGAAACGCACAGAATAACCGAGTGAGCCTGAACAACCTGCGCGGCCACTACAACCAAAGCGAGGCCGGTGAGCGACGCGGCCCGGGTCCCGGTCACCCTCCCGCCCCCCACGGACGGGCCGGGGTCTCCCCGAGTCTCCGGGTCCGAGCTTCACCCCGAGGCAGCGGGACCCGCCCGGCCCTCCACCCGGGAAGAGCCCGCGGGGACTTTGACCCGGTTTCACTTTCGGTTCAGGCTCCTTCACTGCGCCTGGGGGGGAGGGGTAAGGGTCTCACACCCTCCAGAGGATGTACGGCTGCGACGTGGGGCCGGACGGGCGCCTCCTCCGCGGGTACAGGCAGGACGCCTACGACGGCGCTGACTACCTCGCCCTGAACGAGGACCTTTCCTCCTGGACCGCGGCCGACACGGCGGCTCAGATCACCCGGCGCAAGTTGGAGGCGGCCGGTATGGCGGAGCAATGGAGGGGCTACTTTGAGGGCAGGTGCCTGGAGTCGCTCCGCAAATACCTGGAGAAGGGGAAGGAGACGCTGCTGCGCGCAGGTAAGAGGGGCGCGGGTCTCCTACACGGAGAGGAGGAAATGGGGTCAACACCAGGACACCCCGTCTCCCCGACATCGGGG